GGTGGACCAGGGGAGGCTCGATCTATTGGTGGGGAGCAACACCTTCTGGGAAACGGGCCCAGCGCCCCTATTACAGACATCTGTCATGACCTGCCAAACACGGACTGAGACACAGAGCTGATTTCTAAGTTTTGCTCATGGAATGTATGCCTTACTGAGTTTCCCGTTTGTTGCTGAGTTTTCTAAGTCTGTGTGGGTGCATGCTTGCTGGTCTCCATGCCTATCTGAGTGCTTGTCGGCTTGAGTGTGTGTGTGACCCGCAAGGGCACTTGGTTGTTTGGAAGGCCCGAAGGGCCGGTACTTACCTGTGGCCGTGACATTGAGGCTTGCAGCGGGGAAAACACTCAAGTGGCGGGGAAAGAGGCCCACGACACTCAGAGCAGCAGAAAACACTCAAGTAGCATGTAGGCCGGTACCACACCAAGTAGAGGTATATGTGCCGGGTACTCAAGGCCGAGCAGAAGAATACAAAAGTTGGAATTTTCAGAGGCCCAGTAGTTGTAGGCTAGGTCTAGGCGGGTACCAGTCCAACCAGTCTGAGTCTGGGGCCTGTACGGGCAATATCAGAGTCTGCAACGATGTTTCCCTCCGAAAGGGAGGAGGTATCGGTTGCTTGGAGGCCGTGCGGCCTAGGAAGTCACTCGCCAAAAGGCAAGCAGGCTGCTATATCTCCAGGAGGAGCAAGGTGCTCCTCCTCGTAGTCAGTGTCCAAGTTTGGTGACACACTGGTTGGAGCGCTGGCTGGAGCAGAGCTGCTGGGGAAGGAGCAAGGACAGGAGGAGGAAGAAGACCACGACTAGGAAGGGGGAGTGCCAGAGGTACTTACCTGGCTATGGTGGTTGCCATCTTCATCGCCTTGGTGGGCGCTGCAGCAAGAAGGCCCCAGCGGGGGTAGAGCTACACCAAGAAGCTTCGAGGCAGAGTCAGGCATGGCGGCCTGAGCTAGAGCAGCCATAGCTGCTTGAGTTGTCTTCTGCACATCAGGGCAAGGCCCTAGCAGTCCGCCATAGCCTAGGCCATTTTTTATCGATTGATTGGGGGAGAGAGAGAGGGAGAGAGGGAGAGAGGGTCCAG